GAATCAAAAACGGAGAGTTCGATTAAGCTGAATTCTTTTTCGAGCGATTTCGAACTGTCTTTCGTTCTAGGAATGGAAGGACGTGCAGGTATGGCAGCAGTTGTAATGAGTGAAAATGCTTGCCGAAGTGATGAGGCTAGTTTATTCATTACTCCATTCAAGTCGATCTTTAAAGAGTAATTTAGTGATCGAAAGTTTATTTTTATACGATCGAATTGGTGTGAAAAAATTGCGAATTGATTCAACTTGCAGGAATTTTTGCATGAAATTGGCAGTACAATGAGCAAAAGTTTACCATCTTATGCGGTGCCGGTGTTCGTTCGATTGTGCAGTGCAGTTGATAAAACTGGTTTGTTAATGCTCTCCTTTTTTTCTGGTATATTACTCGATTCATTCAGCTGTTCTTTTGCTTCAGAGTTGATTTGATTCATTCAATCGAATATTACATCAGTAACAATTTTATAAGGAGATGAGCATCAACAGTTGATTCTATACACTTTATTGGGAAGAAATTCGTATTCTGTGCAATGTGTAACGAATGCAAAAATTTAACAATGAATTTTTTTTTTTCAGGAACATTCAAATTGGTAAAAACGCACTTACAAAAAATCAGCTATCGGCCTTACTCCTGCTACGGTAGAGTTTTCTATAGAGATCCGTCAACTGGACAGTACATACCTCTCGATGAAACGACTCTCAATCGCATTGAGAAGGCTCAATTCTCGAAATTATGAGCCATTTTTGTTGATTTTTCATGTGAATGATATCAGAGGATTTATTTAATTTGTATAGAGTTTTTATGGTAGAATCGATCATCATTAGTTGACTCTAACGATCATGACATATGCGACCGTTCATCCACTCTGAATAATTTGTTCATGCAAAATTCATTAACGACAATAAATATATTCGAAGAATCAGTTTGTGAGGTTTCCTGAAATACACGATCATTTATGAATTGTCACCCACATGATACCATATCAAAAAGCCATAAACTGTTCGTGAAATTCTGAAATTCCGATTATTCGAACAAAACATTTTACCCATCACGTCCTAAGAATTTCTTCTGCCTATCAATAGTTCCAGTCATGCGAATAGTGATTTCTCCTATGCCAAACGCAATATTTTATTGGGAGTTGCTTAGAGTTACTTCATCGTTGCGGATTGTCAATGATTTCGCTCTATATTTGTGCCGTTTACCCTTCACCCATAATAATCTTATATCTTCGGTTATTTATTAAATGTTATCATTGTCTTGAATTCGCTTCGTTGAAATAAATGTATTGTCGCGTGAACATATATATCAACTGATGAAAACGCGAATGAATTATTGATGTAGAACTAGTCGAGAGAAGTTGTACTGATAATTTATATTACGGATGTATTTATGCAATAAAATACTGTTCATATGATTTCTTAGACATGCCGCTCATTGATATTTACCAACATTTTGTGTTAACTGTAAGCTCGAACTGGAGTTCGATCGTTGGCTGCCGAAAGAGGGCCATGAGGACCTGTTCGGTGGCCAACGAAGTTCGGCCACCGAGTGGTTGCAGTACGGCAGAACCTATCCGGAAAAAAGCGATTTTAGGTGTCTACCAACCGAAACTGAAAGAGAGATTGATCGGTTGGTGGTCATCGATGAAACCTGTCGGTTACGAACTCTCGCTGAAGAAAGCATGCGCATAAATGTGTGATGATCTGTTTGCAGATGGTTCGCTCAAAATGAATGGAATAACAGAGAATCGAATGTTATCATTCGATTATTCACTAATTGATGAATGATTTCTTTGATTCATTTTCATTAACCGATCAAATCAACACATTTAATGACCTAAAAGCGAACAATAACTTTTCATCTGATATCATTATTATTGTTGTCGAATTACACTGCAACCATCTGCGCTCATCTCATTCCATTCCATCATCACCGTTAATAAAGATGAACATTAATGAAAGTGAAATTCAAAACATTCATTGTCGAGATCATCTAATTACACTATAATAGATCATCATCCGCATTCTTATGTTCGTCGTTTCTTCGGAGGAAATGAAGCGACGTCGAATCATATCACCATGTCATCGAATCACAATAATGCTGAAAAACTCTAATAAATGTTGTCCGCAAAACTATAATGTTCGCGAAGAGAAGAATTTCTCTCACTGACCAATAAGACTGTTAATGAGGTAAGTGAACACAAAAAACGGCAAAAGTATCAGCTGAAAATTAATTTAATTATAACGGTCAACAGTGCGCACAGAAAGCGAATTAATTTCATCTCATCACGTAATGTAGTCGAATTCAAAAGAAATTCAGTGAAAGTCTTGCAATAAAATTGTTTAGATGATCTTCCATTATTGTTTTCACGAAAACATGAGGAAATTTTATATATATATATATATATATATA